CCAAACCTTAGATTTGATCTCATTAAGACGTCCTAAGGCATAAAGTTGGCAACTTTATGCCTTTTCATGTCACCTATTCTCCCAACAACCCATTAAGACCTTTCCAAGAGTCTTAATCCATGCATGAGATCAAAACACCCATCGAGACTCCATTTTTATGCTATGAATGGACCAAAGGACTTCAGATCTATCCTCCCTAAGCTCTGGAGTTGCTCAAACTCTCAAGAGGTGGTCCAAAACCAACTAAAGGGACAAAATAGAAAACCCTAGATAGATCTAATGAATAAAATGGCAAGATCAAAGCTTTATACCTCCAGAAGCTCTTCAAGGTGAACTAGATGCAGATTCTTGAAGCCCAATGCCACTCCAAGCTTGCTTAGCAACTCCTTCTTCTTGAATGGTCACTAAAATGGCCAAAAATACACTCCTTAAGCTAAAAAACAGTCTCATAAGGTATCTATGATGTAGAAGAGCGAAATAAGACTAGGGAGGCTGACTAGAGTTTAGTCCAAGAGGCTTAAAGGTATTTAAATAGGTGTCAATTCCGAGAATTAGGGTTTTGGCTCTCTGTCGCATACGCCCTGCGTATACGGCCACCTTCCACGATCACGCATCCTTAGTACGCTAAGCGTACTCCTGGAGTACGCCCCACGTTCTAAGGGACCTTTTATGCCATCTTTTCCTTTTCAAGGGTCTAAAGTGTAATACCTGAATTGGAGTGTTGCAAGACATTACTTCCAGAATTCAGATCTAGTCCTAAATAACCTCCATAGTCATAAAGTTTCCAACTTTATGACTTTGCATGACTAGAAATGCTCAAAATCCAAACCCTAAGTTACTAACCAAAACCCAAACTTCATAACTCTTGTATGGATGGAAGAAAGGGTTTAGAGGACAACTCATTTGGTCTAGAGTAGGCCATACTAATATATACCAAGATTATGTGACCAAAATGCTCAAAAACTTAAGAACTTACAAGATCTAGTGAAACACTGATCAAGTTTAAAACTTTATACCTTATGGAGGTTGCTTTAGAGGTGTAAATCCCAAATCTAAAATGTTTGAAGCTTTCCAAATGCACCCTAAAGATCTTCTTCCTTCAAGGATGGACACAAAACACACAAACAGCTAAAAAACTCACAAATAAACACTAGGTTTTGCAAGGGGTCGTTTGGGAGGGTTGAGGTTGATGGTGGAAGGAATTATGAGAGTTAAGGTTACTTAAAAAGAGCTCAAAACCCTCAATATTAGGGTTTGTATATCTGCCGATTACACCCTGCGTACCCATTGAGTATGCCCTACATACTCACAAGGACCGATGTTCTTTTTAATGAGTTAAGCCATGCGTACGCCCCAAGAATGCACGACGTAAGGATTGTTTTTGATATCAATTGATACTTTGGGTATAAAAGGAAAATACCTAATGTATGGGTGTTACGCTATTCTTGGGGAATTTCTGTCAAGACATGTTTGGGCTTTAATGCTCACCCTCGGCTTGTATGAAATCGTATTCTCCCATGAATGGCACCACTTGCTGCAACTCAAATTTTCCGACTCTCCTGACTAGTTCGGTTTATAGTATCTTGAAAAGACTAAGAGTTCCGAACCTGAAATGCACCATAATTCATTATATGTCTATCGACAAGAGATCCCAGGAGAATGATCAGATGGTTAAGTTAGTGGTCGATTTTAGAATTGGACTTTTAATAATTCGTAAAAGGGCTTATGATTACGTAACCGAGTCATCCCGTTTGTCGATCTTTTATACTTCTTTTATTGGGAAGTGCTCTTCTTAGCTGGATTGAATGAGTCATGTCTAGTCATCATTAATGCTCCCTTGCCAAAGGTACAAAAGGTTGTACTTAGAAAAGGTTAGCATTCACTTTCGATAGAACAAGTCAACTGTTATGATTTCCAACATGTTCGTTGATGATATATAGGTTTATCTATCCAAGTCTCGTTAGATTGCATGTGTGATCAATCTTCATTTTTGATGGTTCGATCATTTTCTCCTTGGTTCAACACATTCTTCTAACAGGGGTAGGTTCGGCTTGCTTAACATTCGACAACGTGGTTCAGATTGGCCAAACCAATTGGAGGTTATATAATCGAACTAGTATATACATTATTACAAACCTTTGTAATCCTTTGAAATGTTCATAGATCTTGATCTTGATCCAACGCAGAGCTCCTCTTTCGTAGTCGCTCCCAAGGAACATGCCGACAACATTTGACTTCACCCCATGGATGAACCCAACTATACGCCACATAATCAGCTCAGGAGTAGGGTTTCGAGATTGGGTTGATACTGCCGAATTCCATTGTTTTTATAGAGAGAATTACATCAATCATATGCGACCTAGGACCCATCTATTTATAAGGAAGGATTTAAACCCTTAAAGGATAAATATCTAGCCACATAATAATTATTCTTACCTTTGGTAATTAGATGACTTTCCAAGTCCTTTAACTAGAACCTTCTAGATCATCGAATTTCATTTAATTATTTAAAGACTTAATTAATTAACAAACCAGGTCCCTATAATATTCTCGTGTCATCAACTGATTATTTATGTCCTTGCGTGTAATCCAAAATGACATTGCTATTAATAGTAATATTATCAACTCTTGTGAGTGTACACTATCTTCCAACAAAAGGATCTTAGTTTGAAGATGGGTTGTCTTTAACAACTTAAATTGAATCAACTTCTAATGTACTAGGGGTGCTACTATTTGATTGTTAACTTATTTTTTCCATCCAGCACATCTCATTCTTTTCAACTTTATCATCAACAGATGGCACATCCTTAATTTTCTACTTTTCTTCTTCTACAAGTAGAACCTTAGATCCAATATTCTGCCTTTTTAATGAAGCAAACAACCTTTTGTATTTTGCTTCATAAGAGTATTGCTTATGATCAGTCTTTTTAACTTTAAAGTATTTTGTAAAATGTGTAGTTTCCACACACTTCAACACATATAACTGGAAGTTGAATTGCGTCTTGGTTTGTCAGTTCGAGATTTTTGACCATGTTCTAACTTTGTTGGTCCTTCTTTGAATTCTCTCTTTGTTTTTAAAGCTATCAAACCGTTGTAACCAACATGATAGCGTGGGATACCAATTTAGTCCCATATTTACCATCAACTTGAGTTTGTTCCTCACCAACATAGTATTTAACAATCTTCTTGTTTCATGGCAAAAGAGCATCAAAATGTGACTTGTGTCCTTATTTCATGTCCTTGTTATTCTCATGTCTTTTTGATTTTATTTTTTCATAGTTTCTCAAGTTCCCAAACATGCTTTGAAGATCCATAGTCTTGACATTCTCCCTATTCTTAAGAACACCAACATGATGCTTATAAATTAAATTAAGTGAATTAAGGAACTTAAGTACAAGAACAAAGTTAGATTTCTCAATCTTCATATTTCTTATGTCACTATTAAGACAACCGAACGAGTTGGATGTATGTGTTAATGACTCATCCTTTTAAGAAAAAAAAGATTCATACATGTGGTTAAGACTTTTTTCTTGATAAGCTCAAACCTTATTAGCTCCATCCTATGCCACTTTTAGAGTGTTTAATATTTCCTTTGCATAATTGAATTTCTCAATCATATATATGCATCATAAGGTATCATAATGTAGTGAATGCATATTTTAGCTCTGGCTCGAAGATCAATATTAACCATCCGTTTGTCATATTTAGTCCATTAGGTTATGTGGGTTATGAGACTTCTAACAGGAACACATTCTTAGTGATTTCACACATAGGAAGGTAAGGTCCATCAATGATGATCTCCAACACGTTGTAGTCTATGGTTTCGAGGACCATAAGAGTCTTATTAAACAACATCCTGAATTTGTTCTCATATCAAAGGGATAACACTTGTTTGTAGAGTTTGATTGACATAGAGATTTCTAAATCTGCTCTAATATCAATTTTTTGTCTCAATCATGAATACTCTTGTATGGTTCCGTAGATGAGTATTCAATAAATTTAAAACTAATTTAATTTCTCAGCTTTTAAACATTAATACTAAATAAAGAAAAAATGAGACATGCTTTAGTTATGAACAAACCATAATTCTTTATATCTCAAAAAGTTACAAAACTCTAGAAAATAATGTCACTCTAAAATCATCAATCACCAGCATTCAATGCTAAAACATTCAGAGTTTACCAATAACCCTTAAACAAATAGAATAAACTTTATAAAAACCTCTACATTTCAATAACCCTTAAATAGATAGAATACACTTTATAAAAACCTCTACATTTCAACGGTAAAAAGCTAGCTATACAAAAATTTATTCAAATAGTAATAAGCTTTTATAAAATATACTTGTATTAATAACCAGCTTTTATAAAATATACTTTTATTAATAACCAATACGAACCCACTATTTCATTAATAAACAAAACTCTTGATTCTAAACATAACCCAAATTTTGTTAACTTTAGTTTATTTATGAACAATTCAAACCAACTCAATCTTCATTAAAATTTAATTTTATTAAAATACAATCATAGAGTGACCAAGGCACATTTTTATGAATTGAGCAACACGTACAAAGCATATTATTTATTTTTTCAATCGTGTTTTTAATCAAACATTTTAAAATAATGCGTGATCCGTGAGCAACGGGTCATCAATACCAATGTAAGCTAGGCAGCTAATTGGATTCGAGATGGGAACATGTGATCGTTAAATAAGCACATGTTTTCTGCTTTCTTATTTTAAAGTTTTAACTCCATTATTGATTTATTTCTATGTTATATGTAGTAGGTAGCCCAAAGTCGTAACTAAACGTTGTGTGAGAGGTCCAATATATACATACACAATTTCCAATATACAGATATTTTATTTTACTGTATTACTATCATTATACTATTATTTTAATAGTTTAATGAATATCAAAAGATCTTGCTTGATTCTTGCCACACCACTATTCAACATAATATATAATAATAAGTTTTTATATACTAATTTTAAAGGGTGTGAGATCTTCCTCTTCTGTATATAATAGCTAGCGACGATAATATTATCCAGAGTCACCAAGATTAGATCGCATAACAACCAATCCGTTCACTAGACACTAAAAAAGGCTCAGGCTCAGCCTTAGCCAATGGATTCAAGGTCCAACCACCATGATGGGCTGACCCAACCCATTCTCTCCGATCACCGGAACTCACAGGTGGCTTCGGAGCCGAAAGGGGAAGTGGTGAGCTCGGAGCTGGAGCAGATACTATCGGACACCAGTTTAACCTCTTTCCAGCGATACAAAAAGGCGTTGTCTCTTGAACTTGTTAGCTTATTCTGGCTAGCAGCTCCAACTATCGTTGTGTACTTGCTGAACAACTTGACGTCGATCTCCACCCAAATCTTCAGCGGCCACCTTGGTAACCTTCAGCTCGCAGCCGCCACTCTTGGCAACAATGGTGTTCAAATCTTCGCCTTTGGTCTTCTGGTATAAATTACATGGCTTTTAGTAATCAATATCTATTCTACTACCTTTTTGTATTTAATCTAGAGTATAAGTTTTTTTTTTTTTTTTTTTTTTTTTTTTTTTTTTGGTAGCTTGGAATGGGGAGCGCAGTGGAGACTCTATGTGGTCAAGCATATGGAGCTAAGCATTACGGAATGCTCGGTGTTTACCTTCAAAGATCCACCATTCTTCTAATGCTGACAGCGATACCTCTTATGTTTATCTACATTTTCTCCAAACCCATTCTCCTCTTACTCGGCCAATCAAAAGAAATCGCCTCCGCAGCTTCCCTATTCATCTTCGGACTCATCCCGCAGATCTTCGCCTACGCAGCCAACTTCCCAATCCAAAAATTCCTTCAATCCCAAAGCATCGTCTTCCCCAGCGCCTACATCGCCGCCGGGATCTTCGTCGTTCACCTTCCATTGTCCTATCTTGTGATGTACGTCTTGGATTGGGGGCTACTGGGTGGCGCGTTGGTTTTGAGTTTTTCATGGTGGGTGATTGTATTGGCGCAGTTTGTGTATATCCTCAAGAGTGATCGAACTAAGGAGACGTGGACTGGGTTTAGCGCGGAGGCGTTTTCTGGGCTTTGGTCGTTCTTTAAGCTATCGGCAGCCTCCGCAGTGATGTTGTGTCTGGAGACATGGTATTTTCAGATTCTTATTTTGGTCGCTGGTTTGCTTCCGAATCCGGAGATAGCATTAGATGCGTTGGCTGTTTGTTCAACGATTCTTGGATGGGTTTTCATGATTTCAGTTGGGTTCAATGCCGCTGCAAGGTATTTATATACTATAGCATCCATTAATTGAAAGCTGCTTATTGGTTGATGTTTTTAGTGACAAAAGAATTTGTATATTTATGACAGTGTGAGAGTTAGCAACGAGCTAGGAGCAGGACATGCGAAATCGACATCATTTGCAGTTATAGTTGTGACATCGATGTCGTTCATTGTGGCTTGCATATGTGGTATCATTCTGTTTTTTGGAAGACATTACATAAGCTATATTTTTACCGAAGGAGAGGTTGTCGCAGAAGCTGTTTCGGAGCTTACTCCTCTACTTGTATTTTCAATCCTCCTGAATGGCATTCAGCCTGTTCTTTCAGGTAAGAATTCACTGTTTGCTATATCTTAAATTAAAGGAGACAAAATAGAACGCAATAAGCATACTACGTTTGACTAGGCTGACAAATTTGACAAAAATTGTAATTTTGTTTTTCTATAAAAAGAATGTGAGACATGGACTTGCTGTTAATGTTGAACGTGATTTTTTTTTTCTCACCTTCATAATTAAAAAAAAGGTGAGACATGTTTTTTTCTCACCTTCACAATTAAATAAGGTGAGACATTAGCTCGCTGTTGATTGGAAAAAAACTCATTTTTTTTTAATTTTCTTACTTCAACTAAAAGTTAAACAAACAAATAAACTACAGTCCTTTTTTATGGATTTTGCCTTTAAAAGTAACTTTAAAGATTTGTCAATTAGGTCTAATCACGTCCTATCTAGTCATCTCTTTGTAGTGTATAACAAACGCAGTCCAAATAAAATATGTTTATGTTATTTAAGACGTATTCAATGAAATGAAAATAAACAGGGGTCGCGGTTGGATGTGGATGGCAATCGTTTGTTGCATATGTGAACATTGGATGCTATTATATGGTTGGAGTTCCCCTTGGTGTTTTGTTGGCCTTCTACTTTGACTTTGGTGCTAAGGTACACCATTATTACTTGTCAAAATTAAATCACAATAATGGTATCATACAAATAAATATATGCAAATAATTTTGTATGTATACAAAATATAGGGAATATGGTCGGGGCTAGTAGGGGGTATGTTGATGCAGACGATGATTTTGTGTTGGGTTACTTTCCGAGCAGATTGGAACAAAGAGGTAAATTCTCAATACAGATACAAAATTTAGGATAATTTCACTAAGTTTATTTGGTTATAGTAAACAATGTAATTATATTTATGAAAATTTCAGGTAAAAATAGCAAATATGAGGGTAACGCAATGGAAACAACAGAAAGAAGACCTTTTGCTAAACAATTAAGAACTTTTTGTTTTTTCGTTTTATTGTTTTTTATTTAGATTTTAATTTCTTTAGAGCAACACAAGGTTTTACACTTGTTTGCGACTTATTTGAAGTTGATTGTAATGAATAACTATTATTAGCCTTTGATCATTATATTAATTAATTAGAAAGTTTTGCCTTTATGAACAATATATTTTTCCATTTAAGGAGTTTTATCACAAAAGTTTTTAGTTTTAGAGTTTTGCCATAATATTTATGCATTTTGATAGATTTAGTCCTGTAATTTTGTAATTTATAGAAAAGGTCCTTATGAATTATTTTTTATAAAAACAGTCCATATGTTGAAGATTTTTGTATGTTGGCATGTTTGGCCCCCATATAGAAAATAAATTACAAAAATTATCCCCACAATTTACTAAAAAGGTCCGTGTATATTTTTTCTAGAAACGGTCTGTATGTTAAAAAAATTACAAAAAAATAGTCCCCACCTAATAGAAAATTTGCAGATTACTCCCCCCACAATATATTGCCATGTTTGGTTCCTATACTTTTTTGGTTACCACTTTCACTACATGACTTTTGTATATTTACATGTTTGCTCCTTACACTTTCGGTGTTAAGCAAGTTTAGTAACTTACTAGTTGCTATTATTAGCTTTTTATTATGATTTTAATTTACTAGTTACTATTATTAGCATTTTATTATGATTTTAACTGAAAGATATTAGTATAAGTTATGTAGATTTGTCTACACATTAAATGTCGATAAAATGTCTACTATGAATTCAAGGTTGATTTATAGTCGAGTTAATTGACTAATATCACAAACAAGTATTTTTTTTCACCAGTTATGATAACAAAACTACATTTAGTATTAAATAAGTTTAAATTCTTGTAAGTCCGTTTTCTTTAATGTAATTTCGGTCATTGGAAAAAAACGCCACTCTAACATTTTTTTGCTTTTTAAATAATGTCACAAAACTTGTGTTTTTGGAACCTATTTTTTGTACCAAATGTTTGATAACTAGACTTCTTGATAATATGTATCGTTCATGCGATTTTGGGGGAGATGTTAGAAAAGATATCACATGGTGGTGAAATCTAGTGATGCCGATGTTTGCTAATTTCTCAAAGCTTTTTAAATGGAAGAATCAAATAAAAATCAAAATATTACAAAGGAAGTGTTAGGATATTGTCTTACTTACAAATTGCTAGGTGGTTTTGAAGTTTCAGAAGGACACACTTTTTGAATCTGTTTGACCAATTATGTATGGATTTCGAAGAGAACAACATCTGAATGCTTTTTTTGAAGTCAATATTTTTATAAGAATGTTAAAAGTTCAAGTTGATGATGTAATGTTCTCAGTTAGAATTAAGGAAGCTCCCAGTTGGACCCCTAATTTTTCTTCTTACTTGCCTAAATTCGGTTCTGAAAATGGTGACGCTTATGGTCCTTGTGAAGAGGGATGGAGCTTTCACTCCATGCATGATAACCATGATATCGCGAATGATATGTTTGGTCTCTATGAAACTATGAAAAAATGAAGGAAGATGATGAGAGAAATAATGCAACAAGTGAATATAGAGGTGAGGGTTTTGGAAAAAAAAATTAAGGAGGCAAATGAAGATTTGGAGTGGTATTTTCTGTTAGGTACAAAGTTATCCATATATGACTTTGTAAATGGGTTGACTTTGGTAGACCCACTTGCATGTGGTGTATTAGCCTTATGTCTTATGAGATAGAGAGTGAGAGAGAGACATGTAAACACCTCTATATAAGGTGGGTTTATTTCACTTGTAGAGGTGTGCTTGAGAGATGTAAAATTGAGTGTGTAAGTGTGTGTTATTTATGTAGATTTACATCTAGATCCCTTTTTGTAACACCATACATAATCGAATGCATCTCTTAAACACCGAAATCATCATGTTCATTGTGCGTTCTTTAATTCTGCAAGCCAAACCAAAGCTCATAAATCACATCAATTGGTATCAGAGCGGGTCTTCGAAGATCAACATGATTTTTTGAAGAAACGATTCTCGGTTTGGCTACAATCATCACAATTGGAGCATTTATGGCAAGTCTCTCTATGATCTCTCTAAATCTCGTTGATTCGTGCGTTGCGTTCTTAAATTTTTTGATCATTTTGACTCATTGGATCAAATTTTTTTAAAAAAAACTCATTTGTTATGATCCAATAATTTTTTCATTGATCGAGCCCAATTTAATCCTATTTTCATTTGTTTGATTCGATTATCAATTTCCTATTGTTCATTCTAATCAAAATCAAGCCCAAAAGTGAATTGAATTTGTATCTTGAGCCTAAAATTCGTATTGTCTAAGATTGGATCTCTAGTTATCTGTTATTGTTCATCATCATGATTGAGCCCAATTGTTGAATTCGTCATTGTTCATTAATCGGAAATTTGAGCCCAAAATCTAATTGATATAGTTCATAAGTAAATTTTGAGCCCAAAATTTGTTCCGTTAACGTCATTTGATTCAGTCTTCACTCTTCGCCGACATATCATATGTTCACGATTTTTTTTTCATTGATTCACTTCGTATGTTTATATCGATTCATGTCTGAGTCCTATTTGTTCGATTGGATTGTTGAAAGAACAAATCAAGAAGTTGAATGTTTGATTAATAGTGTTCTTGATTTACTGGTTCAAAGAAGGAACTAGACTTGATTTGAGAAGATGAATTAGGTGTTTGTCGACTGTTGGATATGAAAAGTCCAACAGAAAGTCAAAATCGAAACTTCTTAGTTGATGAATTTGATCTCACACTTTGGGTGTTGACTGGATTTCGCAAGCATTCTCGTTCTCAAATCAGACTCGCATGTTGATTACAATGGACTCGCAATCTGGTCAAAGATAGGTTGAAATAGTCAAAATTGAATCGAAGGATACGATGGCTGTGAGTTGATGAATGAGTTTCGTAACTTGTATGATTCTCATAGATTCTCAATTCGAAAGTGGAAATCAATTTTGATGTTTCACATTTGCTGGAATCAATTGAAAAGGAAGGGATAATTGAATATGATTTCAAATATTGTTATTCTTGGGTTGATGTTGACGAACTAGACAATGATGTCAATGTTGGAAGAAATCTTGGGTCGATTTGATGAACAGGTGACTGACTGACGAAGGCTTGATTGAAGAAATCGATTTTGGGATTTTGAGTTCGATAGTTTGGATGTCGATTGGTCTAACTCAAAAAGCGAATTTGTTGCTGATTAACGAATAGTCGATGGTTGTTGACGAAGGAAAAGAATTGGGTTGGGGAAATAACGAATCGAAGGATTTGGTGATACCCGGACTAACGAAAGTTTGTAATTTTCGACATTTCAAGCAAAAATTTTCGTTAAAAATGGTGTTGTGGAAGACTTCGTTACCTGATTAACGAAGTGAAGATGAAGTTTCGTTATCTGCATTTAATTTCGTTAGATTGGGGAAGAAAACAATCATTTTTGATTTTGGTCCCTGCATTTTTAACGAAGTGGCACAAATGCTCCAATTTCGACATTTGGGGTAATTTTCGATAGTTTGGAAGAAAGGAGGAAGAATTTTCGAAAACAGTCCCTGAAATTTCGACAGTTTGGCACAACATAACCAACTTCGACATTTGGGGTGACTTTCGACATTTTGGGACAAAAAGCAGAAATTTCGAAATTAGTCATTGAAGTTTCGAAAGTTTGACAGTTTTTGCCCAATTTCGAAAATGGACTGATTTTGCTGAGAAATTGAAGAAAATGCATTTAACGTCCCTGCAGTTAATGCAAATTAACGCTTTCTACCTAGCTTCGGAAAAAGGGGAGAGTTTTGCATTTTTGGCTATTTTAGGCGCACCGGGTCACTGCAGAATTTTGAAATTGACAATTTCTACCCAATTTTGAAAAAAATTGTCAAAGGCGGTCCGAGAACGAAGCTAAAAATTGAATATTTTTTCGGTTTTTCGGATTGAAGCAAAAAGTTTATGCCACATGTTAAGGGGGAGTTTTGACAAGAAAAATTCTGAATATAGCACGTTCTCTTTCCTTGTTGGTTTTATAATCAAATTTCGATTATAAAAAGGGGGAGAAATATATATATGGAAATTCGAAAGTTGAATTTTTCATATTACGCGGACTTGAAGACCGAAGTGAACTTGAATTTTTGAAGTTTATGAAATGATGCGATTGGAGATTCGGAAGTGATTTCGGTTCGAGATGAGTTTGGATTTATTGAAGATTTTTGGGGTGTGTTTTTATGCTCAACTTTAGGGTGATTATTTGGAGTTTGAGAAGCTCGTGATCATTCGTTGATGCTCGGTTTGTATGGTCTCACATCCTAGAACCCAAATTGAAGAATCATGGAAGAATTGAAGATTTGAAGTTCATCTCAACATGTGTCACGCTTGAGGCTCAGATCGCGTAGTTGCTCGATTTTGGAAGATTTGAAGTGGGTCATCCATTCCTAACTTTGATGGGGAGAATGTTAGGTATAAAGTTATCCATGTATGACTTTGTAAATGGGTTTACTTTTGTAGACCCACTTGCATGTGGTGTGTTAGCCTTATGTCTTATGAGATAGAGAGTGAGAGACAGACATATAAAATCCTCTATATAAGGTGGGTTGATTCCACTTGTAGAGGTGTGCTTGAGAGATGTAAAATTGAGTGTGTAAGTGTGTGTTATTCATGTAGATTTAGATCTAGATCCCTTTTTGTAACACCATACATAATCGAATGCATCTCTTAAACACCAAAATCTCCATGTTCATTGTGCGTTCTTTAATTCCGCAAGCCAAACCAAAGCTCATAAATCACATCATTTTCGGAAAGGACAAACTCAAATTTCACATAGGATCAACTTCATTGTGTCGGGTGCTGTTGAGGCTAATTCAAACTCATAATCAGCTACTCCTCTAGTGCTTGTGGCAATCCCGAATGTTGATCTCATTACCGCAGCAGTCCCGACGTTACCTACTGTTCTGGAAACAAGTGCTTTTGTTCCTGCTCCGACTAGTGTGGTTTTTCCTCCTGCTGTTCATGTCCTCTTGGCAGCCTCACAAACCGCTGGAGTTCCTCAAGGGGTCGAGTGCAAGAGACAACTTTGGTTACAACTTCTTCAAATTATTACTTCTTTTTCTAGATATTGTGTTTTGATAGGAGATTTTAATGAAGTTCAAAATGAATCGGAGAGAATGGGTTCCCAGTTTCACCAAGTATCAAATAAGAGTTTTAATTA